TAAAAGGCTATCAACTGATCAAATGGGATCTGACTTTAAAAAAAATCAAGATATTTTGAATTAAGAAACATTAAAACAAAGCCATTCAATGGTGGTACATGCCTTTAATTCTGGGTGTTGGAAAGAGAAGGCAGGTGAATCTCTGAGTTTGAGGCCAGCCTGATTCAAAAAGTGAGTTCCAGGACAGCCAGAGCCTCACAGAGAAACCCTGTCTCGCGGCGCGGGGCGGGGGGGAGAATTAAATAAATAAAAGAAAACCAGCTGATCTATTTGTGAATCTATTCAAGAACAAGAAGTGCATAATGGTGTCAGAAAACATTTCAAATTAAAAAAGGTATATTATTTATAAAAATTTTTCAAAAACTAAAATTATTTTTCAAGGAAAATTCTTTAAAAGTAAAATAACCCAAGGGTGCTAGCACACACCTGTAATCTCAGCACAGCGTGGGAGGATGCTAGTTCAAGGCTAGCCTCAGCATCATGGTAAGTTCCTGTCTTAAAAAGAAAAGAAAAGTAACAGTATACATATACAGGAGACCAGGTAGCTGTCTTAAAAAACAAACAAGCCCTGACATCAGCAAGATGGAGAAATGGAACTTGGCAATATCTCTCAATTAGACCAACTTTCTACACCTGTACACAAAAACGCCTCTGTAAAAGCTAATAAGAAAGTCAGATGAGACTACAGAACCTGTAGGAGGGTGGGGTCTATCAGGCAGGACAGGAAAAGCAATTCTGTATCTCTCGTGTCCCTCTTCCTACAGTCTCAAGCAGTGCAGTGAGAAGAGATGTCCTCTGCCTGAACTTTGCTCAGACCCCAATGTGGAGTCCAATCCAGGAAGGGCCAGATAGAGCAAGACACCACAGCTCCTAACTAAACCGATACCCATGGATTCTCATCAAGTGTGCACTGTAAAAGGAGAGATCTAGGTTCAGCTCTGCCTGGCATACTCTGGATATGGGCCTACCCCATCACCACTCTAGTCCCCAAAGACTTAGGCCCTAGGTATAATGCAGGACCAAAACAGCCCTGGCATCTTTGAGCTCTGTACTGTCCCAATAACAAGCTGCATCCCATGGGCCAAGGCTTTAGTCCTGTCCCACCATCACACCATCCTTCCCCAAGTCCTATTCATTAGGCTAGCACCTGCTGTGGGTGAGCATCCACAGACAAAGGCACGGTCTTCCACTGTTCCAGGCTGAAGGAATAGGTAGACTAGGTAGACTCCAATACTGATCTGGCCGCCACAAGTCCATGCTACAAGACCACATCTATGGGCTGTTCTGATTTTTAGGGGTTTTGTTTTGGGTTTTGTTTGGTTTTAGATTTTTGTTGTTTTTCTTTCAGATTAGCATTTGAAACAACAGGTCACAAGCAAAACCCTGCAGATTTAGCCTGCAAGTCTGTACCTACAAACCAATCCTACAAAGAATCCTTTAAACTCAGGCTTTAGTGACCCTAAGGATGAGACTTGGTCAATCATACCTAGGATCCAAAAATTGAGATTCTATAAGTATTAGTATAAATCCAGGTTTTAGACATGCCCTTCTGGACTTAGGAATCAGGTCTAACTCAGTGCCCTAGCAGTGGGAAGACTCCTCTGGACTTTGGTTCCAAGTCTATTCCAAAGTGCAACAAGTCCTTCCCAGCGCTCCAGTGGGCCTAGGCAATAGCTCTGTCTCAGCACATGGCAGGCTCCAGTGGGCCTAGGCAATAGCTCTATCTCAGCACATGGCAGGCTCCAGTGGGCCTAGGCAATAGCTCTGTCTCAGCACATAAGCCCTTTACACTCAGGAGCAAGACTAGCACAAAGCTATGCCAGCCCCGCAGACACAGACTTCTAGCTGTGCTGCACTAAAAAACAAGCTCTATTTCTGTTAAGACACCAGACTTACACAGCTCATCTACTGGAAGCAGGCCAGCCCATCAGAGAACTGAGGACTCCAATGTCAAACATACTCATGGATCACATCGGCTGTCCTTCCCAGAATCTCCAGATGGGCTGGCTGGTGGTGGGCTTTCCCAGACAGTCTTCACAGACTGGAATAATTTCCTTCTTCTTCAAGTATACAGACAGTAAGATCATGGCATAAGAATCAAGAACAATCCATAAAATACTACCCAACCGAAAGAACAAAATAAAGCACCACTGACTATCACAGGGGAAATGGAGTGCCCTAAAACTGCCTGAAATCCAAACGAGCTGCTTTAAGAAAACTCAAGATTTAAAAATAGAAATAATTCAAAAAAATAGTACAATAAAAACTCAAAATCAGAAATGTAAGAAGTGGATGTTGTTTATTTAACCAATCAAATCCTAGAGCTGAAAATATAATAAAAAATTTAATGCACAAGAGCAGAAACAATCTAAAGAATCTATGAAATTATACCACAAGAGGAAAACCATGGAAAGTCCTGATGAAAGCTTGCAAAATTTATGACCTAAAAAAAAAATAACCAAGTTATAGGAGCTCCAGTAGGATGACAAGCAGCAAACTCATTTAAATAACTAAAATGGATTAGAGAGATGGCTCAGCAGTTGAAAGCACTTGCTGTTTTTCCAAAGAACCTGAGTTTGGATCCAACACCCAAGTTCAGTGGCTCACAATCCCCTCTAACTCCAATTCCAGGGGACCTCTTCTAGCCTCCAAAAGCTCCCCGAACATGTGTGCATACACTAACACAAATATACACACATACACATATAAAAAATAATTCACATTAAAAGCATATAAATTTAAATTTTTAATATATAAGAGCAAAAATTCTTCCCAAATCTGGGTAAAGACAAAAATCTAGGAACACAAAGGTCAAATATCTCTAACCAGATTCAATCCAAACAAGGTGTCACCAACCCCTGGCTGGGAAGGGCTTTGCAGTGATACAGCTCCTTCTGACTCCCCCATGCTTCTGGATGTAATCCCCAACACTCACTGAGGAACTAAGCTGGACTTGGATGGAATGGCTTCCCCGATGTATTCTACTGTGCTACTGTGCTAGTTAGTTTTGTGCCAGCTTGACACAAGCTATAGTCTTCTGAGAGGAGGGACTTCAACTGAGAAAATGCCTCCATAAAGCAGGGCTGTAGGCAAGCCTATAGGGCATTTTCCCAATTAGCAATTGATGGGGGAGGGCCCAGCCCAGTGCAGCTGGTGCTGTCCCTGGGCTGGTGGTCCTGGTTTCTAAAAGAAAGCAGACAGAGCAAATAATGGGAATAAGACCCTTCCATGGTCTCTGCATCAGCTCCTGAGCTGCATGAGTTACTTCCATCACTGCTATTAATGATGAACTGTTATATACAACTGTGAACAAAATGAAGCCTTTACTCCCCTAAGTTGTTTCTGGTTATGGTATTTCATCACAATAACAGCACCTCTAACTAAGTGCCCTGCCTGGCATGTACGGACACTTGTTTCTCTTGTTTCCCCAAGAAAACATAATGATTCTATATAACAAGGCATACATTTGTTGAAGCAGTCAAGTAAAATTTTGCAAACGTAAGTTGTTATTAATTACAATAAACAGCCATTACAAGTTTAAGATCTTTTATATAAAATTTGTAATCACAAATCTTTATGCAAATGATGAAGACTAAGATCAACAAATACCACCGGGAAAGTTACCTAAGCACAAAATAAGAAAAGAAAGAAGGTGCTAAGGACCTAATGTGATCAGAGGACAATGAACAAATGGCAGCAGCAAGTTCTGGCCTATCAGTCATCATGTGAGTACAGAGACTAAATCCTTCAATCAAACACTCATCAGCTCATGAGTGGACAAGCAATTGAGTACATGCTGCCTACATGTTACTGACCTCATCCTCAGGGACATGCAGACTCAGAGTAAAGGGACAGAAAAAGACATTCCATGAAAGTAGACTCTGAAGAGAAAAATGTTCCACAATTTAAAGGAGCAGAAGCTACATAGATGTATACATTTGTTAAACCACCAAATATTCTACTTAAGATTTGCATAAAATTGTATATGTTTCCCTTAAAAATGAATATTAATCAAATACTGATAACTCTTACTAATATATCATGCTCACATATTTGAAATAAATAAAAATGTTATAGTAAACATGGAATTCAACTCTAGCTGGTCTCTATCCCATCCCTTGACAACTAATTCAGTGGAAGCAGGTTGAGGACCTGGTTAGGGACCACTAGAGGCAGGTGAGTTCCTATTAGATAATGTATATTTCTTCCCTAGTTCAACCCCTAGGAGCTGATGCTTGTCTGGGTCTGCCCACACTTACTACCTTTTCTTCCCCTCTGCCTTTTCTTTCAGACACTGGCTAGAGCCTAAGTATGCATCCCCATATTCTGGGCTCCCTTCCTCTTCCTCTGAAATCCCTCCCTGCCACATAACCCTGCTACACTGTAGCTTAGTAATATGTTAGCTTATCTCAAGCAGCATGGCGTTTTCCCCCTTCTCTTCTCCATTTTCCTCCTCTGGGAAACTGTTAAATTTACAGTTTGCCTGCCCTTGGATTTTTCTTTTAAACTATAATAAATTGTCCATGTGCTTCCATGAGTTCATTCTTAATTTTTTTCCTTTTATTAATGAGATTAAGAACCCCAAAAGGAGGTCCTGATTTCCCAAGTCTCATAAGATAGCACCACCAGTATTTGTCAAGATGTCTGGTAACACTTGCTTCCTGCCTTTTAATTCTTTAGTCAGCAGAGAAAAGTGAGTATGTTTCTGTATCCTAGGGTGGCATCAGGAACCTGTAACTTATTTTGAAGAATTAAAAAATAATTTTAATAAAGCAAATATAGTGAAATATTAACATATTCCAAAGGTGAAGGGATTACTGTACAATTCTTTTTGCCTTTCTTATGCCTGAAAATTCGGTCATTAAAAAAAAAGATGAGAGTTCAAAAAATCACAAATATTATATGCACAGTTTTCAAAATAATTTTCTTGTTTATGACTGTCATATATAGAATGAGTTAAAGAAACACACATTTAAAAATAAAACAACTAAAGAACATACCCGAATTTCTTGAAGGTTGTGAAAATGATTTCCTACTCTGACTGAGATTTTGCTTGGAGTGTAGCTTTCATCAGATTTATAGTCTGCATAAATACACAATGTCTTCACTGTTGTTTTTCTTCTAAAAACAGTAAAATAAAAGTACACAGTTTATCACATCAAAAGGAAACAGTAAAATAAAAGCACGCCCTCTTCTGAGGTTAAATCAACAATCTCCTTTGGTTTCCCTTCATCTTGCAGGTGGAAACATATAAAAATGTAAGTTCATATGTAGTATTTTACATATTCAAACATACCTCATTGAGAACATGGTCAAGAACTAATGTATGGAAAGAAGCATTAGGTGCTTTAACATGCAAACAAATATTAATAATGCCCATCCTTTTTATCTAGACATTATTCAAGGAAAGGGTTCAAGCAAGCCTGGATTTCTTTACTAATTAATTAATTCTTTATACTGATACTTAAAAATACTTAGCTAAGTAAAAAAATCAGGCTCAACAAATAAGTATCATTAAAAAATAAAAAGTGCCGGACGGTGGAGGCTCACGCCTTTAATCACAGCCCTCAGGAGGCAGAGGCAGGCAGATCTCTGTGAGTTCAGTGTAAAGTAGTACTGCTGGGTAACACTGAGACCCTTAAGCAAAAGTAATCTGTGTCAAAAGTCAGCCTACAAAACAATGGGCTCTGGAGCTCTCCTCTGGGAAACCAAATCCACATACCTTAACTATTCATTAGAAAAAAGGGCAAAGATAAAGATTTTTCTTCAGAAAATGCATAAACCCATGTTATTCTGAAAGTGTTGACAGGAGATATTATGATGTTTCTTAAGAGACCAGAGCTGCCAAACTGACATCTTAGGAACACATCAAAGGAAAGCAAAGGATGCAGAGAAATTTTGAAAGGCTATTTGATGAGCCATAAGCAGGAAGTAAAGGTCTCCCTAAGACAGAATGATAAGAGACCACAGAAATTAAAAAGAAAAAACAAAAGTAGAGGTAAAGGATCAAGCTTTTTACATAAAAGTATGACTTCTAAGTTACGAAATTCGGGATAACTTCAACACCAAAACCTACATGAAAACCAGGGTGATTTTAGAAAGGCATAGAATGGTAATATTAATGAACATTAAAAACAACAGCAACATACAGCAAGAGAACACTATGTGGCTGACCCAGAACTAATGCTTCATTTGTATTCTCTCTTTGTCCTATCACCAATTTACTGCTTCTCTGATGAAAGAAATAACACTATGTAGATGATCACAGTAAAGTAGTCCCGCTTGGCAGAAGGAGTTCCCTTAGTAACACTAGGGTAAATGATGTAAGTAAAAAATGTTCATAAGGCCAGGCAGCGGTATCATACGCCTTAATCTCAACAGTCTGGAGGCAGAGGCAGGAGGATCTCTGAGTTCGAGGCCAGCCTAATTCTACAAAGAAAACCATGCTATCTCTGGATAACAGCACACTCAGGAGAGAGGTGGGATGACCAGACCTTCACTCTACTCACTGTCGCTGCACTGAACACCTGCTGCGCCACGACCAGACATGTGCTCTCTTCCTTCCTCCAATCACTTCTAATTTAATTTTAATTAACTGTATGTAGTTTGCTCAATACTCATTGACTGTTATCAGTTTAGAGTGATGAGAAGATATTTATAGTTACTTACATTTGAGCTAAATTATACTTCTTTTCTTGAAGCTTATTAATCTCCAGAAATGACAGATATACATATTTTTCTTGGTTTTTCAAGACAGGGTTTCCCTGTAGCTTTGGGGCCTGTCCTGGAACTAGTTCTTGAGACCAGGTTGGCCTTGAACTCACAGATTCACCTGCCTCTGCTCCCGCATGCAGGGATTAAAGGCGTGCACCCTAGCACCTGGCGATGACAGGTGTAATTTATGCTAAACACACAGTTATAGTACATCTGTAGAAGAGACTGCTACTGTGGCTGAAGTTAAAACTACTACTCTACAAGGCACAGCAAAACCTTTTTTAAACTACTAAATTTTGCCTCATACTGATTCAAAAAGCAACAATACTACAGAAAAACCATGTTGTTTCTGAAACAACAACACACAGGAAGATAAAATTTCCAGACTATATCACAGGGGAAGATGGTGGATACTCAGACCATCACTCTAACTATGGCTGCTGCAATGAGGGAACACCTACTGCACGCCAAATACCTTGTTAAACTTCTAGGAAACACTGGTAGAAGGGAAAGACAGAGAGATGCTTCCCTGTTTCTGACTGACATAAATATCATTCCTGACTTCCTTCTTTCCTCCGACCTATTAGAACACCTTCTCCTAAGAAACAGCTTTGGGCAAGAAGCATTTCCTTTGTTCCTTCAGTCCATACATATAAAACCAAGCATATCTGGTTAGCTACAAATGGATGAGTAAGTCTTTAATTCCAGGGTTCGATGCTACTAAACACACATAACTGAAGGTTTGATGCACTTAGTGTGGTAATGAGCTTCTAGCAAGTGATACTTTGTCCTGTACCTGCTGACTCCTAAATAATTTTTCAACTGGTTAAGAATCCAAGACACGCCATGCAGTTTAATTCCAGCACTCAGGAGGCAGAAGCAGGCAGATCTCTGAGTTTGAGGCCAGCCTGGTCTACAGTTACAGCTACATAAAGAAAACTGTCATGAAAAACAGAAAAACAAACAAAAACAAAACCTAGCAGTCTCACTACACTAATGAGGAAAGAGTTATGAATGGGGGCAGCAGATGAAATCTGCATGGGACCCATTTGAGCAGGCAGGGAGGAGATACAAGTCCACAAAGACATAGGTAAAGAATAACTGTTGGGAGAGCAATAGCAAGAGAACAGCAAGTCAAATGCTCTTAGTCAATGAGAGCTGGGCATGGTTAAAATTCTCAAAAACCAAAAGAAAAGTTCTCTTCCAATATCCAGATTTATTTGAGACCCTAGAGAGACCAAACCTTGTTAAGAATGCTAATTTTACGCAAGAGAAACACCAATGAAGAATGGCTGGGAACTCGTGTGGCCAGAGCAGGAATGTTACAGGTATTCTCTTGTTAATGCTAATGTGTGCTCTACCTTTCTGAGTAGCCTCGTATGGTACACTGTATCCAGAAGGATTCTGAAAAAGCCTTAGTGAAGCAGCAGAAATGAGACCCCAGGTGCCTTAAGGCAGAGAACAAAGAGGTTAGAGGTTCACAAACAAGTAAAATAACACTCTTTACAGTCCGGGAAGAAACAACCATTTTTATAGACCTGTTACGTATACTAATATACAATAAAGTATTCCTGCTAAGTTTTAATGAATGACTAAATTTATTGTAATTCCTAATATGGCAAGTATAAAAATAAACAAAAGATTGTTGGCGTCCTAAATAAAGATTTACTATGGACATAAAGATCAAAATGTTTGAAAACAGCTGTCCCAGAACAGGACTGACAAGCTATAGCTTACAAGTGCAGGTCAAACGTGTGTGCCATTTACTTTTTACTTAAAGAAATATTTGTTTACATATTTTCTATGATTGCTTCTGCCTTAATACAAAAAGACGGAGTATCTGTAACAGAGTATATAAAGAATTTTTATAACTCTACAACAAAAACAATTTAAAAATAGACCAAAAAATTGAAGAGCATTCCTTCAAAGGAGACATACAAATGCCCACTAAGTACACAAGAAGATGCTTAGCATCACAAATCAATCGGTGTTATGGTCTGACTATCAAATGACCCTCACAGGCTCATGTGTGTGAAACACCTGGTTCCCAGCTGGTGGCACCGTTTGGAGGATTATGGAGTATTTAGGACATAGGGCTTGACTGACAGGGATGTGTCTCTGAGGTAAACCTTTGAAGGACAGCCTCGTCTATATTTCTGATCTATAAAAATATGAAGAGCTTTTGCCACCGTGTCTTCCTTACCCGATGGCTTATAACCTCTGAAACTGTGAGCAAAAGTAAGCACTCCTCCTTAAGTCACTTCTGCCAGGTATTCTACCTGGAATAACTAATCCACTTGGGAAGTGAGAATCAAAGCTATGTGATATCACTTCACATGCATTAACAGGATCATTATTTTTAAAAAGAAAACCACGGATGCTGATGTTGTGTAATGGGGGGAGCAAAGCTTATATAAAATGTCCAAGGGAATATAAAGTAGGGCATTTGCTATGGAAAAAAGTATGGAGGTACAAAATATTAAACAGAACTACCATTTGATTCTAATAATGAGAAAAATGATTGAACCTACATCCTAGGAGATTGTATAAGTTACAAAATAGGTATATATATAATCTATTAAATAGTTAAATTCTCAGTGATATAAAAGTGTATGACAATAAAGCTATTCAAGGAATATAATGTGTGAACAATTTTATGATTTTTTCAGTACACGGTAATAGAATGAAGTTTACAAAACAAATTCTAGTATTACAATACAATTAAATTTAGATGTTCAATATTGAACTTTTAAGCTAACAAGTTTGTATTCCTTGACCAGTAATTTAACTCATATTTATAGGATAGGAGTTAAAGGCACAGGATCTGAAATTAGAGAACTTATGTTCAAATTGTAATTCTACCACTTATTATATGACCCTGGTTTTATCTAAATCTCTAATAAATTATAAAGATTTATTGTGTGATGTTTTACTCTTTTGGCTTTTCAAAATCTTTGGGGGGTCCACCACCCAGCTCCTAAATAAATCACACACATGGAGGTTTTTCACTATTTACGAATGCCCGGCCTTATCTTGGCTTGTTGCTAGCCAGCTTTTCTTAAATTATCCCGACTTTCTTTTGCCTCTGGGCTTTTACCTTTCTTTGCTTCTTTCTCTGTGGTGTACTGTATGGCTGGGTGGCTGGGCCCTGAGGTCCTCCTCCCCTTGTTCTCTTATTCTTCATTGTCTTTCTTCTCTAAGATTTCTCCTTCTATCTACACTCTCTGCCTGCTAGCCCTACCTATCCATGCTCCTGCCTTGCTATTGGCTGTTCAGCTCTTTATTAGGACCATCCGCATTTTAGAACACAGCTTCACAGAGTTAAACAAAGGCAGCATAAACAAAAGTCACACACCTAAAAATAATATTCCCCAACAAAGATTAAATGAAATAAATGAGGTATCAGTCATTTTTCTCATTGTTGGGAACTAAACACCTGACAATAAGCAGAGGAAGAAGTATTCTGATTCATGTTTTAAAGGCATAGTCCATCATGGAGGGACCGAATAGCACTAGGAACAGCTCATGGCTATGGCAACACGAGCATGATGTAAGGGAACATGGTACAGAAGTGGTATTGGGATAGCCTGACTTATCGGACTATACTAAGCTAGGGTATACTTAGAGCTCAACAGGACAGATCTGGAGGCTGGAGCTGCAATGGGACAGCTCAGCCCTGGAGGGAAGATGTCCTGACTATCAGGAAGCCAAGCTACCTGAAGCTGGGGTGCGGTGGGGGATGGTCTCCCCACAGGATATAGGGATCCTGCTCCTCTCCTGGACAGCAGCTACAGCTGAGTTCTGTTCTGTTTCCTTATGGGAGTGTCCTAGCAGAGCTGTCTGCTTCTTCTCTAGCCCAAGATGTTTCTTCTTCTAGCACTGTGCTAGGGAAAGCCTGGTGCAGAAATATAGCAATCTCCTCCTGCCCCAGCGAAAAGTTGTTACTTTTCCTCAGCTGGCCTTGCTCATCCCCCTTAAGGAGCATCCTAGCCAGGTTCCTCTGCTCTGTCTTGCTGAGGCCCCCTAGGGAGCGTCTCAGCAAGGTTTTTAAGCTCAGTCCCCTAAGGGACATCCCAGCCAGATTCTTCTACTCTGTGCCAGCGAATGAAAGTCAGACTCTTTTGAGAAAGCAGATTTATTTGGGAAGGAGTCCACTTAACAGCAGCTCTCAATTGAAGTGGTGGAGAGGCTTATATAGGGCTTCTCAGAGGCGGAGTCTCCCCAGGAAGAAAGGGGATTGGTTAATTTTTCCCTGCTCAGGGATTGGTCAGTTTAGCTGGGGCAGAGATGACTCTACCTTCATGGCCAAACTGGTTTCTTTCACTGGTCCTTTTTAGCTTTTTTACTCTAATATTAGGACCAGGGCATATTTCTTTCACTGGCTCTGATTCTAGGGGCAAAGTGTGTTTCTCTGACACTAGTTTCAGAGCCAGGGCACATGTCTTTAGTCCTGGGCTCAGGGATAAAGATGTTTCTCTCCCTGGCCCAGGTCTCAAATCCAGGGTGTGTTTCTTTGACTCTGGGTTCTGAGTCCGGGTGCTCTGCGATTGGTCAGTTTCCTGTCTCAGTTGTCCCTTTAACTGTATACATGAGATTGTTAGTTCACATTCATGTAGAACAAGAAGCAAAGAATAGGAAATGATGGCACTCACTTGGCTTTCTCCTTTCTCTCTTTGCTCAGTTTAGGTCCCTAAGCCATGGGCTCATGCGAACAACATTCAAGGTGAATCTTGCCTCTTCAGGTAAGCTCTTTGGAAATGTCCTCACAGTTACACCCAAAAGTGTGTCTCCTAGGGAACTGTCTTACTGCTGTGATGAATCACTGTGATCAAAGCAACTTGGGGAGGAAAGGGTTTATTTCACTCACAATTCCATATAACAGTTCATCATCAAAAGCAGTGACGCCAGGAACTCAAGCAGGGCAGAAATCTGGAGGCAGTAGCTGATGCAGAGGCCGTGGAGGGGTGCTGCTTACAGGCTTGCTTCACATGGCTTGTTCAGCCTGCTTTCTTATAGAACCCAGGACCACCAGCCCAGGGATAGTACCACCCACAATGCACTGGGCCCTCCAATAACTAACACTAACTAAGAAAATGTCTTCTAGCCAGATCGAATGGAGGCATTTTCTCAATTGAGGTCCCCTCTTTTTAGCTAGCTCTAGTTTGTATCAAAGTGACATTAAACTAGCCAGGACAGCAATTCTAAACCCAATCAAGGGGACAATGAAAACTACTCGGTGAAGGAAATGTTACTACACCATAACATTCAAGCTGTGGCCTGTCTACTGCTTACTGCAATTTCCCACATTTGCAGTGAGAAAACAGAGAAAATATGAAGTCTGGAGAGGAAAAAGAATATGAGCCCAGTTGAAGCTGTGGACAGAAGTATATACTTTGGCAGTTGTCTGAGTCACTGTTCTATTGCCATGAAGACACCATAGCCAAAGCAACGGTTAAAAAAGAAAGCATTTAATTGCAATCTTGATTAAAGTTTCAGAGAGATAGTCCATGATCATCATGGCATCATGGGGCTGAGAGCTTACATCATCATCTATAAGCAGGCAAAGAGAAAAAGCCAGCGTGGACTTTTGAAACTTCAAAGCACACATAATAACATACCTTTTCAACAAGTTCTCATCTCCTCTAACAGGGCCACACCTCCTAATTCTTCCCGAACAACTCTACTAACTGGGGACTGAATTCAAGTACATTAGCCTATGGGTGGTCAATATCATTCAAACCACCACAGCAAGGAAAAAAACTTGAACCCAGCGGAAGTAGAAGTTAGAGCAGGTTCAGATAAAGTCGCTGTTACTGTTGAGAGAACAGCACCATTAAGGAGAAACCTTGGATTCTACACTGGGGCATTAGAAAAGGTGGCCTGAGAGTAACATCTCACCCATTAAAAGCTCTAGGACATAGTTGATGAGTGAGCTATGTAAAGCTGTGAAGGACAAAATCTAATCTGCAATGGAAACCAAAGATATTAGAGAAATCAGAAACACAAATATCCACCAAAGAAAGCAGCAGGAATAGCATGGAACAAGCCTAAAAGAGAAGACATGAATGCTGTGCACCCCTAAGTATAAATAGGTGGACCTCTCCAAGCCCACTGGAGCCCAGATGATGGGCATGAAGCTGCAAAATTCAGTGTTTACTCTGCTGAGTTTTGGTCTTGCTTTAAACTGATCTTTCCTGGCTATGCTTCTGTTTGTCTCTTTTCAAATGGGAATGTTCACCTGTACCACGGTATGCTAAAATCGTACACACACACACACACACACACACACACACACACACACACACTTACATGAGTTTACAGTCTTGCCCTGAGTCTCAGAACAGACTTTGAATGTGGGATTTTGAACAGTGGAGTAACTGTGGGACTACTGAAAATCTGAAGACCGACTGAACGCATTTTACATAATGAGATGGCCATGAGCCTAAGGACCCAGTAGTCAAATGGGAAACGTCCCTTAGAGGCTCATTTCTCTGACTAATGGAATTATTGAAAGGTGGAGCCTCACTAGAGGAAATAGTTAATTAAAGTGAGGGTTGGAGGATCTATTAGCCTTTAAATTTATAACTTGACCTCACTTCCTCCCTGTCTCAGCTTCCTTGTTTTCTCAGCCACAAACCATTTCCACCACTGTGCTGTCTCCACTATAACAGGCTGTACTCTCAAACTGTGAGACGAAGTCTTTCTGTAGCTGAAACCACATGGTTTCACTGGCAAGGGAAGTAAATACGGGTGGAAATCATTTGGTAAAGTAGCAGGATTTGAGGGTGGGTTGGGGGAAGGGTTCATGTCAGGGTTTCTCTTTGTAAACTTGGCTGTCCTGGAATTCACTCTGTATACCACGCTGGCCTCAAACTCACAGACATTCTCCCACCTCTGTCTCCCAAGTGCTGGGATTAAAGATGCGTGCTACCATACCTGGCAGTAGCTACAACCTTAACCCTTAAAAAAGATAATTACTATTGCTGGCACATACATATTACAACCTAGAATAGTGCCCAACCCCTGCCTCACAGCTCTTTTTGCGGGATATAGTTTAACCAGAGGCACTACATTCAGTCATTTATGCATTGGTTTTCGGCTGTTTGGTGCTGTAATACATAATACAGAACTACATAGGATAATTGGAAACCAGAGGGTCTACAAGATTCAAATATTTACTATCTACTCAAAAGAAGTTTCCTGATTTGTACCATACAGCAATAGAAAGAAGCACCTAAAAATGTAACATTTTAGGATGGTAGAGGATACATATACCGCAGTGACGACAAGGAGAGGACACCGCAGTGACGACAAGGAGAGGACACCGCAGTGACGACAGACAGAGCACACACTGCAGTGACGACAGACAGAGCACACACTGCAGTGACAAGGAGAGGACACTGCAGTGACAAGGAGAGGACACTGCAGTGACAAGGAGAGGACACCGCAGTGACAACAAGAGGACACTGCAGTGACGACAGAAAGAGCACACACTGCAGTGATAAGGAGAGGACACTGCAGTGACAACAAGGAGAGCACACACTGCAGTGATGACAAAGAAAGGACACCGCAGTGACAAGGCTGACTAGTTTTCATAGTCAACAATCCCAAAGATCAGACAAACATACAAGTGTTTTCCTATCCCAAAAATAGTAGTCATTTTAAAACTACGCTTACAGATTCTATGTTGAGTACAAATATGAAAAGTTACCTAAATATCATACCTAAGAAACTTACAAGCATCATATATTAAGGCATTACCTGGCTATAAAATAATTTTTCTGACTCTACCTCTTAAAATTGAATCCTATCAGAACCATAAACATAAAGTATCAGCAGAAATGTACAAAGAGGACTAAGGAGATGACTCCATGGGGAAAGCGGCTGCTCACAAGCCTGACGACCTGTACATGTGCACCCCTACACACACACCCACATCACACAACACATGCACATGCATGCATGCATGGAAAAGAGAAATACATAAAGGGTAGGGCAAAATACACTGAAGCTGCTTGCAATCTGGATGGTAATAATAATATTCTCTAAGATTTATAGAGTCTAACAGTAGTTAAGTATATTTCAATCTCTATATTTCCTTAAATTTTATGTAAATGGTTTCCTTATCCACTTATAACCCACAGTATATAAAAAAGTAAAAACTGTATTACCTGAATTGTATGTTCACTAAATGAGGCTGAGAGCCATCAGATTGCCAGTAAGTTTCTAGATTGTCATCTCGTAATTGGTCCACACCAAACCCTAGAAACAATGAAAATGGCAATAAATTTCCATGAAAAAGTTACATATTTAAAACATAAAATTATCATACATATTTGTCCAGAAATTTTGATAAAGACTTTATCAAAATATAAAACTTAACCAAAACTCTTTCACTCTTTCATTCAGATCTCAGCTCAAGAAATACCACTACTGGCTGGTTGTGTCGACCACTGTCAGACCGCTTGTTTCGTGTATGTGAAGCCCTGGATTCAATCCCCTTGACACACAGGACAAACATTTTGGGTGGCTGGTTTTTAAAAGGCATCTCTGGGGATATATAAAGTCTTTATTTGCTCAAATCCAAATTCTTACCCTTTTTATGAACTAATCATAAGAACGATCCATCCTGTGATAGCCTTTAGAACAGGCAGATGTGAGCAGGCTCATTATCTCATCTTTGCTTTTTGCTACTTTTTAAGTTCCCTAGTAAAGATAACTAAATTTCAAGATTCTTAAGAGAGTCCTTGTTAAACAACCTATTGAGTTAAAGGCTTCCTCTACTTATTCCACTTTGGCTAGATTTTTCCCCCCGTTTTACAATTTTATTTCTATCTTAGCTCAAAGAATTTCATAAAGTGGTATTTAGTCTTAAGCAAAACAAGTATTAAACAAAAATCTTTTAACTGAAGACTAATCTGAAATTTGCTTCTAAGACATTGCTTATTAAAGTATAATGGGAAAAACAAATTGGCATAATCTTTTGAGACTGACCATTCTGGGTCTTCGGACACTGAGTATAATTACCAACTTCCATGTCCACATTTTTTCTCACAAGCAGAATGTATAATAAACATAAATTCACATGCTGATGTCACCTCTTTCTTAAGTGTCCAATGTGATTATTGTATCTGAGTTGTCTCAGTCAAAAAAGACTTTAAAACAATGGCAGAACTGTTTTAATGGCTTTGACAGGTATTATGTACCCAGGTAAAGAACATTATTCAGAGGGAAAAAACTTTTATAAGTCCTAACAGGCTTCAGTGGTTCTTTTTTTAAGGTTTTATTGCCTGCAGACACTAGAAGAGGGCACTGGTCCCATGAAGTGGAAGTTAGAGGTGGTTGTGAGCCACACAGTATAAAAAGGAACTGAACTCAGGTCCTCTGGACAGTCGCAGTGGTCCTACAGTGCAGACCCTGCACCTGCAACATCACTCTAGAGCTCCACGTTAGCGATTCTGAGAGCCTGCCTCACTGAAAGTATGTTTGATGAGTCTTCTGGATGATTCTGGTGCAAGCTAAGACGTCACACCTACTTCTCAAAGGTTGCATTTCTTATACTTGTCTTGGCACTATTCACTTCTGGACTCAACAATGCTTTGTTATGAGGTCATTGGCCTGACCTCTACTTAGGTGATGCCCAGAAAACAACTCTCCCTCCTTCCCGTGGTCATGATGGCAGTCAAACAATCTGCAGACACTGCTAAAGGATGGGGCTAGGGTATGAGCAATAAAATCATCCATAAGTAAAAACAACTGTTCCAAGGAAAAGAGAAACAATATTCTTTGTGGTTATGGCTATTGTTTAGTAAATACTTTTTTCTCTTGGTCCTCCATCGGGGGTATATGGTCATATTTGGGTTAAGTTCAGACTGATTTGAGTTCGACACAACGTGGATGAATATGACACAAGCTTCAGTTTTAATGTGTCTGCATGGTCTAGATTAACCTTTGAAAAGTCCCTACCACACTAAGAGAGCATGTCTGGACTCATAGGGCAGACACCACTACATGAAAGCTATATTTTAAGTCTCCAAGCCATTTTCTTCTTAAGCATCTCTAGCAACACAATTACTTTCAGATTGGATAGGGGGTTACTGTAACTCAACCACATGCCCTGACTTTGAAGACCTAACAAGTAACATGTGGTATCAGATGTGGTGTTATACACTCTTAATCCTAGAACTTGGAAGGCACAGGCAGGCAGGTATCATGTGTGTTTGAGGCCAACCTGATCTACTAAAGAATTTCAAGCCAGCTAGCGCTACATAGTAAGACCCTGTCAGAAAGACACAGACAGACAGAAAAAAAAAAATAGACTTCGTAAAAGAATTCATCTATAATTGTTTCCTACAACTGTTTACAGTTCAGCTAAACAAAACCAATGAGCTTTCTCCTTGTACTTAAAATCCAAATTCTTTTTCTTTTTTTTCCTTTGGTTTTCCAAGACAGGGTTTCTCTGTAGCTTTGGAGCCTGTCCTGGAACTAGCTCTTGTAGACCAAGCTGGCCTCGAACTCCTGAGTGCTGGGATTAAACATGTGCACCACCAATGCCCGGTCAAATCCAAATTCTTTGTGTGTGCATGTATGTTTTATGTGTTCATGCATATATGTGTACAGGTACAGACAAGAAGTTGGTACTAGGTATCTTCCTCTATCACTCTCCACTGTATTTTGAATGCATATGTATTTTGGTATGTATGTATACATGGGGTGAAGGGTTACACAAAAATGTAGAAGTCAGGCATCAATGTTAGATGTTTTACCGGGAAGTTTTGTGTGTCAACTTGACAGAAGCTAGAGTCAACAAAGAGAAAGGAGACGCCATGTGATCCAGCTGTAAGGCATTTTCTCATCTAGTCATCAATGAGGGAGGGCCCTGGCTCTGGTGGGTGGTGCTATACCTGGGCTGGTGGTCCTGAGTTCCATAAAAAAGCAAACTGAGCAAGCCCTGGAAAGCAAGCCAGTAATCAGCGTCCCTCCTTGACCTCTGCATCAGCTTCAGCCTCCAGGTTTCTGTCCTAGTTGAGTTCCTGTCCTGCCTTCTTTCATTGATGAACAGTGATGTGGAAGTAAAAGCCAAATAAATGCTTTCCTCTCCAACTAGCCTTTTGGTCAAGGTGTTTCATTGCAGCAATAGAAATCCCAACTAAGACAGATGTCTTACTCAATTATTTTCTTCATTATTTTATAAGACAGTGTTTCTCACTGACCCTGGAGCTCATACAGTCAGCAAGACTATCTGGCCAGCAAGTCCCAGGGATCTTCTTATCTCTGCCTTCCAAGCCCTGGAAGTACAGGCACCCTGGACATACCAGGATTTTTACATAGGTGCCAGGGATCAAAACTCAAAACTCAAGTCCTATAGCTAGAAAGGTGGATCAGCAATTAAGAACACTTGCTGCTCTTGCAGAAGACACAGCTTCAGTTCCCAGCATCCATGTGTCATATTCATTTATAACACCAGTTCCCAGGGATCCAATGTGTCCCAGAGGCATCAGGCACACACACAGGGTATATACATACATGTGGGCAAACAATCATATATATAAAATAAATTTTAAAAAAATACAAAAAGAAAAGCGCACTGGGTAGTGGTGTACACCTTTAGTCCTAGTGCTCAGGAGGGAGAGACAGGTGGATCTCTGTGAGTTCGAGGCCAGCCTGGTCTTCAGTAGCTAGGTCCAGGGCAGGCTCCAAAACTACAGAGAGAAACCCTCTCTTGAAAAAGAAACAATGATAATGATAACGATGACGATAGTGGACTACGATGTAGTAGTGTAAGCCAAATAAATAAACCCTTTCTTCCCCACTTTATTTTTAGTCATAGCATTTCATCATAACAATAGTAACCCTGACTAAGTCAGAAACTATGCCAAGAAAAATGACCAGGTTTCAACAATAGCAGTAACAATCGAAAATCACTGAAGTCATGTCAAGCTGATTTCCCACAGAATCAGTGAACTGACAATAAAAAATAGGAACATCCTACCAGTACCTACAACAGCAAAACTCACAAACATACTACACTATGTAAAAGAAGCCAGACTCAAAAGTTTCCATACTTTATGACTATATTCATAATAGAATTCTTCAGCTGGGTAGTGGTGCCTCAGGCCTTTAATACCAGGACTTGGGTAACAGAGACAGGCAGATCTCTGAGTTTGAGGCCAGCCTGGTCTACAGAGTGAGTTCCAGGCTACCCAGAGAAACCCTGTCTCAGAAAAGGGGGAAAAAATGGAATTTTTCAAAAGTCAAAGACAAAGCCACCCAAAAGAGATGAGGAGTTGTCAGATACTTAGAGGGAGCAGAATGGCATGAGACGACTTTGGGGGACTGTAGAAATATTTTATATTTTATTATAATGACTTTTATATGACTATGTATTAAGATTCATAGAAGTGTACATGTAAAATGGGTTATTATATGGAAATAAATGAATGCTCCAAAAATGTATTCATTGGAAAAAGAGAATATGGTCTGGCAGTGGTGGCACACGCCTTTAATCCCAGCACTCTCAGGACGCTGAGGCAGAGGATCTCTGTGAGTTTAAGGTCAGACTGCTCTACAGAGCTAGTTCCAGGATAGCTAGGGCTGTTACAAAGAGAAACCCTGTCTCAAAAAACCAAAAAGAGACTAAGAGGAGAAACAGAACAGTTCTGGTTGGAAAACTAGATACAAGATTCTAACTGTATAAGTAAGTTCAAAACAAAATGATTATATTACAATTTAAGGTTCCTCATGATAAAGGAATTTCTCTCAACCTGAGTCTTCGGATTGAAAATGCCTATCAAGAATAAAGAGAAATAGTAAATGCTTCCAGAAAGAACAGCAAGCATAAAATGTGAATTAAACAACTAAATAACAGCAGAAATGGCACAGGAGGAGATAATCTTATAAGAAACTTAAATCTAACAAATATTAAAAATATCTACATACACACAAAAAAAATTAAAGGTAGTCCAATGCATAAGAAAATTATTAGTAGGTTGGGTAATGTCTTTATTCCCAGCACCTGGGAAGCAGAGACAGGCAGATCTCTGAGTTCAAGGCAGCCCGGTTTACAGAGCAAGTTCTAGGATAGCCAAGAACACGGAGAAACCCTGTCTCGAAAATTCAAAAAAAAAAAAAAGCCAAAAGCCACGTATATATAAAATAAAATTATAAGTATTATCACAGCATTCAAGTTTTGTTTTGCTTTACCTGGTTTGCACGATGAGAGTGACCAAACAGCTTGGGACCCAATTTCCCTCACTGTCGCCGTCCTTTCCAACTGTTTAGGATCAGCACCAGGAGGTGTCTTGTTCGGTGTGGTCATTTTAAAATTATTCTGCAGAGAAACAAGCAATATTCATTATTCCAAGACTTGACCATCTTTCTTCAAATGTAAAAACAAAAGCTCAGTGCCGAGCCTTGTGGCCTAAGGCAGAGGCCGAAGCAGAAGGATTGGAGTTCAAGGTCAACTTGTTCTACACAGTTCTAGGACTACATAGGGACCCTGTCTCAAATAAAATAAAATAAGATAAAATAAAATAAATTTCAACGACAAAATAATCACTCATATTCCCTTCATCTTTTATACCTTTTGTTAATCTTAGTAAAGGTATGAAAACATGAGGAAGAAAAACCTTCTTGGAAAGTTAAGAGTATGTTGGACTGCTCCGGTAACCGTTATGGCTACTCTACATTATTGTAAATTCTAATCAGAACCAATAGAACTATAGACCATCTTGACACATTCCTGCCGATTCCAAGCTATCCCTATAACCGCCACATCCAAGAATCATCTAAGTAATCACAGAGACATTATAAATTTTGTTAAACCCTGAATGGCCTGCCACCGGGGGAGGAGGGGAGAGGACCCATCTCGACACTGGAACAGACTGAAACGACCAGTCAGGTGGAGAAACAAAAGGCTAGGAGAGGAATGGGTCCTGAACTTAAAAGAATAACACAGCGGGAGCCGCTGTCCACCCTGACCCCGCTAGTCCACCAGATCCGCTAAGGCTCCACCCCAGGCCCACAAGGCCTGAGGAGACAGAGAGCTCAACGCCACGAAGAACAGGGAAGAACCAGGGCGGATCTCGAACTCGAGGAAGAGCCGCGATCGTACAAACCTGGTCTGCCACGATCAGTTTCCGCGGCGCCTGCAGGTCCACGCCACACCCACCGCAGCTCAGGGATTCCGGGCTCCCTCAGTTGACAAGAGTCGCAGCACAATGACGTCAGAGGCGTCCACACGCCCTCCACGGCGCCGACTCCGCGCGCTGGTGCGCGCGCATTACGCGCTCGTCCCTTGCGCGAGGCGGCGGCTGGGCACCGCCATCTTGGCCGGTGGCTGTAAGAACACGTTGTGCGCCGGAGAGCTGAAGGCTAGCGCCGCTCTGACCGCTGCACGCCCCGTTGTAAGTGGACCGTCGTCTCCAGGTACGTGAGCGGGCGGGAGGGGACGGCGTCCGGTGGCAAACCGCCGCCTTGGGAAGATGTGGGGACGCTCTCGGGTGCCCGTGGCTAGGCCTCTGTGGCGGGACCGTGGCGCGTGGCGCCCGGCGCCGGCTGCGCATCTGGGACAGCGGAGCGCTCCTCGCGTCCGCTCAGCCACCCCGGCTCGAACCTGCAGTCCTCCAAACCCTGACAACTGCCGACGCCGCAGACGTCCGCCCCGCACCGGCGTCCGTCCCGCACCGCCTTCCCTTCCCCCGGCTCCCACCCTGGAGCCGAGCGCCTTCAGGACTCGCCGCGCCCCGCAGGTCCCCCCAGCCTCCTGTCACAGGCAGATGGCTGTGTTGTCACAGCATCGCTGTGGTTTCTCTTGTACCTTTTAATGGTTGTGGAGTGAGTCACGGCATCGTGCCGCCATGAAGCCCGGTACTCCTTCTCCTCCAAGCCTTTATAGAAGTGATGCGCAAGGGTTCGTTTTCTCCCAGAGCGGCTTGTTCTCAGTTGAGGCTCCAGTTGGCCCAAGTGAATTTCCGAATTGAATGCTTTGGAAAGGCACTTTGTAGCACTCCTTACTCTTCCTATTAGTGATTTAATCTGTTTTTTCGTTTATTTACTTCTTAAGCTTCTTGACATCAGGAATGGTGTCTTTAGATACCCTTTTAAGGCGCAGTACATTGTAGGCATTTAGTATTTGTTGCAAATAAATAATAGCCAAAGCTGAATTCCTACACCCATGAGCTACATTAAGTATTTTTTTCTTTTTCGATGGTAAAATTGGTAACTAAAAAATAATTGTCGAAACAGATTTTATTAGTTTACCCTTTTCTTTCCAGAGACTACTAACTAGGGAGTTAGAATAGTAAAGTCTACGTTGTAGTCACCGGGCCTGCGTGCTGAACGTAGTCGACCTGTATCCCCATCAGTTGATAGTTAATGTATTCAGTGTAATCAGAAGCTTTTTATATATAGTTAACCAAAATGTGTTTCAGGTTTTATTTTTTTAATTAATTTATGTAGCTTGGCTCACCTCTACAGACAAAACAACAAACACAGACAGAAATTTGTTTCACAAGAACATTTACCAGTTGCTGAAAGGCAGTCCATTAAAAATCAAAGCTATGTGCCTTTCCCAGCGTAGTGTGCTTTACAAGGCTAATTTAGAAGAAGCATAGGTTATAGTATTTCATGTGACCTCAGACTGTGTTTCCCATGTGTATGCCCCACGTCCATGTTCTCACTGACCTGGAAGGATGCCGCTGGAGCCATTGCTCTAAGTCTTCAGGTCTCTATGTAGTCCCAGTTCGCTGCTGTAGTCTTCCTCTTCAGGCTGTTCTGTACCAAGTTCTTCTTATGGGAAAGAAGGGAACTCATTTTCCGTAATTCTTGAAAATACAACAGAAGTTGAAATAGTGTTTACCTGTGTAAGTAACTGTTATACGAAGAATCTGTATTTAGTTTTCTTAAATGTAAAATAATTTATTATGTAAATCAACTTTATTAGCCACCTCTAGTATGTTTCTATTCCACATAAATATTGTATATTATAGACTTAATAATTTGAAAATTAGATAGTCTTAGTAGTTTAACAAAAGTAAAGACTAACATAAACAATTTTGTAGTGAAAGAGTTGTTTAATCTCGGAAAAGGAATTCATTTGCCAGGTAATTTGTTTTAAAAGCATTTTTTTATTTGTGTCAGAATGCATGATGCCCAGTTTAGTAGCAGCTTTGCAAAAATAGTCAATGTCTTAGAAAAATCACATGGTTTGACTTGGGGTTTTAAGTTAACTGTAAGGTAAAGTAAAATCGTTTTAATTTCTTCTTCTAACTTAGGAGACCTGGATCACTTTAAAGAAGTGACCTTGTCTGTCAGTATAGCTCTGTTAAAGTCTTATGTTTTCATTAACATAGCTTAGCTCAACTCTACCAAAACAAAGTAGAGCATTTATTGGTTAGAAAGGAAGTGATCTGATGGTCTGTAAATGATGAAAATATTTAGGCCAGAGAGGAAAACCTGTTTTTAGGGAGGAAGAGGAAATAACCTAGAGCAGCATTGAGTAGCAAGACTGCTTATGTCCCTCCAAGTCTAACCATTTTAGTGGCTATGTTGGTGGGCATTCAGCAAAATACCTTTGCAAATGGATAGTCTTGGCTTTTGGATTCTTCATTATGTATTGAAGTAAACTATATTTCTCCAGAGGGAATTAATTAATATCAGTGCACCAAACCCAGTATCAAAAGATTGTTAAATTTGCTTTGACCTAAATTCTGTGTAGATGTTATATGTCAAGACTTAGGAAAGTCTTGAAAGCATGGTATATATGTATAGTGAATTACTACTAATAGGCAAAACCTGGACAGTGGATGATGGCCACAGCTCTATTTATCCCTTGCCATCAGTAGTCAGTGTAGTCAATTGGAAAAGAAAATGAATTGGTGATTGGTTTATAGGAACAAAGAAGAAACATCTTGAGATAGTGTGTTTGTGTTCATTCAAATGTAGTTGATTTTACAAGTTTATGTTTGTACAGTGGTATCAAGTATTGAAGCCATGGATAATTTTTCAGTCTGTCAAGTCTAAGCTTCCACCCTTGCAGTTTAATATTCCTGGTTACTCTTCCCCAAAAGAGCTTTATCTTTCATTTGATTTAATATTTTCTTTTACCCAAGAGATTGGATTGTATAAAAACTGAGATAACATATTTTATTTGGTTAGATCTTTTGAAATTTAGTGCTTTTGAGTATTTTCCTGTGCATGTGTATTAAGTATATTCCTAGATGTTTTTTTGGTTTGGTTTGGGTTTTGTGATAGTTTACATAACACCTATTTTCTAATCTAAATTCATTGTGTAAAGTTTCGATTTTCCACCTGAATAGATTGTTTTGCTGTTTCTAATCATTTTTACACTTTTCAAATTTCTTTTTTGTTGTTGTTGTTTTTTTCGAGACAAGGTTTCTCTGTAGCTTTGGTTCCTGTCCTGGAACTAGCTTTTGTAGACCAGGTTGGCCTCGAACTCATAGAGAGCTGCCTGCCTCTTCCTCTTGAGTGCTGGGATTAAAGGCGTGCGCAGCCATTGCCTGACTACTTTTCAAATTTCTAAGTGCCAAATGATTGTGTCCTTTTATAGCCATTAATTATTTCTCTTTGGGTGATTATAATGAATTTGCTATGACTTTGTTCATTTTTCTTTAATAGGCAAGCCAGATATTTTTTGTTACAATTATGGCAGACAAATTAACAAGGATTGCTATTGTCAACCATGACAAATGTAAACCTAAGAAATGTCGACAGGAGTGCAAAAAGAGTTGCCCTGTGGTTCGAATGGGTAAGCAGTTCTGTTGGCCATCTAAGGGTAGGAAGGGTCTATGGGAAAGCAGATAGTGTGATATCTTCATAGTGATATCTTCATAGGGAAAGCAGATGTGTGATAGCTTCATAGAGGCTTTAGCAAATACTGTGCTAATCACAGATAGTTTCTCTGAACTGCAAAGGTGAGAAATTTAAAATTATTCTAAGCTTTTTGTTTATTTTTATTTTTTTCTAAGTTTGTGACTAAACAGTCTTTTAAAAGAACTTATAGAATATCATTATTAAGACATTTCCTAAGTATACAGTCAAACCGAAAGTTAACTGCAATCCTTGCTATTCTATAAGATTCTGTAATTGAGTCACAGGGAAAGGATTACCAGAATCTTTACATTAAATGTTGTTCTCATCTTGAAACCAATAAATAAATACATTTAAGGTTAATGACAGTCATTTCTTGGGGAATTGCTAGATTTTCAAGACTAAGTAAACCTAGCAGTTCGGAGCTGACAGATTGTTGGTGCCTTTCGGCGTTGGCTACATGGCTACTGCCTTGTACTAGTGTTTCTAGGTGGTATCTGTTAATATCTCCTGTGCTTTTCAGAAATTCAGTTTTTGAGGTCTAGAATGCTGTGCTTAATTTTACTTGTGTAATAGAAAACTGCATAGCTTTTTGGAGTTTTATTTACCTAGCAGAAATGCTTTGTTCCTATCTACAGTATGCCTTTCCATTTCTAATACTTATTTTCTTTTATGAGTTAAAGAGTCATTTATTGTATGCAGGACTGTGGGGTTGCAGCCAAAAATAAATTTAGCCAGTCAGCGTAAACACAATATTTCAAGGTTTACCATTTTTACTAGTATTGGATAAACAGAATATACTGGCCATTTGCTTACTGCCTAGCAAGAATACATAATTAATAAACCCAGTTGTTTAATTTAGGATGTGTTTCATCAAACACCTGATGTAAGAAATTCTTTGTCATTGAAACTTTTGTGTGGGATTTCCAGAAGCAGCATTTTCTGAATAACAATCTTAAAAATGTTCTGATAAAGGAAATTATTTTTTTTTGGCCAGGAAAATTATGCATAGAGGTTACACCCCAGAGCAAAATAGCATGGATTTCTGAGACTCTCTGTATTGGTTGTGGTATTTGTATTAAGGTAAGTGATAATACTTTATTTATCAAGTCAAAAATAAACTCTTAAAATTCTAAATACTTTATTTTTTTTAAAGGCAAAATTAGGTCGGGCAGTGGTGACACACACGTTTAAATCCCATTTGAGAGGCAGAGGCAGGCGGATCTCTGTGAGTTTGAAGCCAGCTTAGTCTACAGAGCGAGTTCTAAGACAGGCTCCAATG